TTCCTTCCTTCCTTCCTTCCTTCCTTCCTTCTCTTCCTCCCTCCCTCTCTTCCTTCCTTCCTTCTCTTCCTCCCTCCCTCCCTCCCTCTCTTGGTTGGTTCCTTCCTTCCCTCCCTCCCTCCCTCCTTCCTTCCTTGTGATTAGAATGCAGCATTGCAGGTTAACTCTGCCCACAGCCATGAGTTCAAACCTGACCAGGTCAAGGTTGACTCAGCCTTCCAGCCTTTCAAGGTGGGTAAAATGAGGACCCAGATCGTTGCGGGGGGGGGGGGGGGGGGGGGGAGGGGGAGGGGGGGGGGGGGGGGGGGGGCAATAGGCTGACTCTGTAAAGCACTTCGAGAGGATTGCATTGTGAAGCATTGTGAAGCGGTATATAAATCTAAGGAGTATTGCTACTATGGTTGAACCCCAACTGGCTCTCCATCTAAGTGGATCACCCTGATCTTTCTTTAGGGACCCGGTCCCATAGAATGGACCTTCTTAAAGAAAAACTTGTTCAGTCCAGACCAGACCGAGGGCATCGGCATCTGGTGGTCTCCAGCCCCTCCCCCCCCCAAACCCCTATCCTAGTGCTTTGATTCTGCTGGGACTCACGGTAGATGGTCCAGGTTGTCATTGTTGCCTTTGGGACGGACCAACACCCGGTTCACTTCGCTGTGGAGCCCGTCGAGAAGGAAGCGCAGGAACTCCTGGGCATCCTGCTGGCTGCGAGAGAGGAAGGACAGGTGTCAATCTAAGCCCGGCAGGAGGGTGGTACCAGTCAGGCCCCACCCAAGGAGGCTGGTAGAAGAGGAAACCAACCCTCTTCCTCTCCTCCTGTCCTTCTGCAGATATTCAAGGGAGTTCATTTATTTATTTTTATGTGTTAAATTTATAGGCCAAAGTGATTCCGGGTGGTTAGGACAGATGATTGGCAAAAGGAGAGGAGGGAAAAGGAGGGGACGGAGAAGGAAGGGAAGGGAAAGGGTTAGAGAGGAGAGGGAAGGCGAGGGAGGGAAGGGAAGGGAGAGGAAAAGGGGAAGAAGAAGAGAGGAGAGGAAAAGGGGAAGGGGAAAAAGAGGAGAGGGGGAGAGATTGAAAGAAGGAGAAGAGAGGAGAGGACCAAACTAACTCTCTCTCTTCATCAGATTTGAAAAGACAGGGCACAGTAAGGCAGAGGTGGCCATCTTTGAATTTGATAGAAATCATGGACTTTAGCATCCTCCCTTCTCTACCGGCATGCTGAATGCCAAGGAATGGGAGTTGTAGTCCACAAGAGATCTACAGGACAACAGGTTGCTATGAAGGAATCCAGAGCTAGCAAAGGCTAAAAGCGCTAGCTAAGGTTGAAGAAGGAGAAGAAGCAAGGGAAGAATGGCCACTTGCGAAAAGCGGAAGAGAAGGTCCTCGATCTCCCTCTTACTTGTATCCCACAAAGCGGGGAGCGTATCGTTGGATCTGCATCTTGAATTCGGAAGGGCTCACGGATTCATTGGGAGACGAGGTCCACAATGCCTGGATGAGCTTGGCGAACTCTGGAGAGAGAGGAGGGAGCAAGGCGTTCGTGAACACACAAGCACGGAAGAACCCACGGTGGCCACCAAGAACTAGACCTTGTTCCATCCCTTCTAGACCCAACGTGAGTCCCTGTGGGGAGACACGAGCTCTGGCTTCCTTCCTAGCTATGATCCATGCCACAGGAGACCTGTGGGGCCCTAAGGACCAGCGTCTATGATGCTAACAACTACCAAATAGAGCAGGGAACCGAGGAAGGAAGAGGAAGAATTCAAGGGATTGAGCTTGATGGTTTTCTTGCAGGTGTTTCATGACCCAAACTAGGTAACATCATCCATGCTAGAAGAAGCCTGAATGAGAGCAACCCCCTCTCCCTTCTGCTACTGATGATGTTGCCTAGTTGGGTCATGAAACATCTGCAAGAAAACCACCAAGCTCAAGAGAGCACCCCCCTGAGCTATAAATATTCTTCCTTTTATTGATTCAGAGGATCCTCCTCCTCCTCCTCTCCACAAAGCACACTCCCTGCTAACACTGATGATGTTCCCTAGTTGGGTCCTGAAATGTTTGCAAGGAAACTAACCAGCTCAGAGAGCACCGAGGAACCCTCATTTCAACTCCGAGCTACAAATATTCTCCTTTATTGATTCAAGGGATCTTCCTCCTCTTTTTCTCCTCCAATCCCACTTCCTTTTAACACTGATGATGTTACTAGTTGGGTCATGAAACATCTTGAAGAAAACAACCAGGCTCACAGAGCACCAAGAACCCCCCAGTTGTCCTCCTCCTCCTCCTTTCTCCTCCTCTTCTTCCTCTTCCTCCTCTTCTTCTTCCTCTTCTTCTTCTTTCTCCTTCCTCCTCCTTTCCTTCCCTCTGAAAGTCACCTCCTTCAGCTTTCTCCCCCTCCTTCCTAGCCCCCTCCCATTAAAGGGCTTCGGGAGATGAAGGCCCCTGTCTGCTTGCAAACTGTTTCCCTGTTGTGCCCGAGCGAAATCTCGCCGCCTTCACCTGTCATAAGAGACATCTGCATGCGACTGTTGTTGTTGAGATCACGGAGGTATTGGCTCTGCAGGCAGTAATCTCGCAGCTCTTTGGTGTTGCTCAGGCACTGCAGGATGGAGTTCATAAAACACTGCAAGAGGCAGGAAAGAGAGAGAGAGAGAGAGAGAGAGAGAGTGAAGGCCAGGACACCAGGCCATGAGCTATTCCACCCCATCCTTTCTCCAGGTGACAACTGTCCAGGTGTCTCCTCTGAGCTAGAATGTTTCACCCCCCTTGGATGAACTTGGCTCCAGGAACTGTTTTTCAGAAAAAAGAATTAGGCCTTCCAGCTAAGCAGGGTCAACTATCTGGAGAGCAGCAGATTTGGAACGTTATCTGCTCTGCAAGGTGTGTCTTTTAAACACCTGGCAAACTAAAGGAGTCCCTGACTATACCTCTACCTAGGATTGAACTCACAGCCTCCTGATTGTGAGGCGAGAGCTCCACCCCTAGGCCACCGTACCACTCCACAGGGGTCACTGACTATGACCTTCATTAAACTCTGTGCCAGGAGGGAGCCTGTTACAAAAAAGAAAAGAAAATCTAGATACCCCTTTGATTTCCTCCTCAGTGTCATTTCCTTGTTGGAGTCTGATTCTGAGGGGGAGATTGAGCAGCTGGCAGGGAGAGGAAGTGGGGCTCCAGTGGCTGTGGAATAAATGGGGGAAGGGCACAGTCTGGCTGGGCATTCAGAGGAAGACCCAGGGCCACCCCCTCTTCATCCTAAGGCATGCAGGGAGGAACGGAGAAGGGAGCAACATGGCTTACGGGAGAAAAAAAGGCCCTGATCCCTTTCATTAGTTGCAACTGGGAGAACAGGCTATAAGTGGAGCGTTTGCACACAGCGCCTTGCTGGAAGCAAAGCATGCATTTTCTTGGTCAGGGCCTACCTGGGTTTTTGGCATCCTCCCAACTGTGGGTGCTGCGTTATCTTTTGAAAGTCTGCAATTTATCATCCTGGCCTGCTGTGTTAATTACTTCAGTGTGGTTTGTGTTGGTTTTTTTTTTTTTATGTCTAATTATCTTTACTTCGGGTTCGGGACTGCATTTCTTCCCTTCATAGACTTTTTTTTTTTTTTTGAAGAATTTGATCTCCAGCCGAGGATAATTGGACATTGGAGGGCCAAGTTGGAGGCATTAAAGGGAATTTATTCTACTTTTGTGACTTCGTTATTTTTGTGTCACACCCTGGGTCATCAGACTCGAGAAAGCAGATATTGGAACATAGAATCATAGCCTTGGAAGGGACCTTGGAGGTCTTCTAGTCCAACCCCTGCTCAAGGAGGGGGACCCTCATATCATTCTGGACAAATGGCTATCCAGTCTCTTCTTGAAAACCTCCAGGAATTGGAGCACCCGCCACCTCTGGAGACAAAAGCTCTTCCACTGCTTAATTGTGGAATGAACAGGATTTCCCCTTAATTCGATAAATTAAATCATCTCCTTGATAAAGTCTCACCCATTACTGGTTATCCTGCCCTCCATGCCCTCACCTACATTTCATTTTTTTTAATAAAAAAAGAAGCTTTAAAAATATAAAAGCGCCACGAGAGCTGTTGCTATGGTGAAAAAACAATTAAGAAACCCAAAGGTTTTTTGGGGTGTGTGTGTGTTATTTCCCCCCCAGCTCAACCCACAGTGTTCCACTGCGTCTGTGACTGACTCATGCTACGACGCACATGGGCAGCGCACAATCACACGCAATCACACCGGTTTGTCACGCCTGGGCCGAGATGCCCGCCAGGGGCTGGGGATGAATGGCGCTTTATCCGTCAGCTCCCTAAAGCGATGCTTTTTAAGAGGCATAATTGAGGGCATCAATTGAGTTTTTACGGAGCCCTCCAACCCTTCCCTGCTAGTTTCTTCTTTCATCATCCAATCCACATCCCTTCCTTTGGGGAAGCAGGTGGAGTAGGCAACGACTACTAGGACTACTGCTACCAGCTCTCCTCCTCCTCCTCCATCAAGAAGGAAGTGAGAGGCTAGATCCTTTCTCTCTTGTGTTTGGGAGGAGGTCCCAGCAGATGTTTCCCCCCAGAAAGAACTCCCTCCCCCTGGGCACCAAAGGGGAACCCACCTACGCAGCCAATGCTAACTCTAGAAATGTGTGCATGTGTGTGTGTGTGTGAGAGAGAGAGAGAGAGAGTTTGTGTGTGTGGGAGGGTGAACTTCAGTGCTCAATTCCCCCACCAGGTCTGATGCCCATCTAGTGTTTTAGAAGATGCCTTCACTCTCACTCCCAAGGAGCTTCTGGCGGCCAGGAGAGACACGTAACGTTGGGTGAAGAGTGAGGGGAAGCGAGATTAGCCATGTCAGGAAGGAAAAATTTCCTTTCCTTCTTTTT